TCAGGAAGTGATCATCAGGAAGTGATCATCAGGATGTCACAACAAAGCCACAACACAACAACACAAACAACAACAACATCAACAACAACACCAACTACACCAATAAAACCACCAGCAACACCAACAACAGCGTTACCAACAACAACACCAACAACAGCGTTACCAACAACAACACCAACAACAGCGTTACCAACAACAACACCAACAACAGCGTTACCAACAACAACACCAACAACAGCGTTACCAACAACAACACCAACAACAGCGTTACCAACAACAACACCAACAACAGCGTTACCAACAACAACACCAACAACAGCGTTACCAATAACAACACCAACAACAGCGTTACCAATAACAACACCAACAACAGCGTTACCAATAACAACACCAACAACAGCGTTACCAACAACAACAACAACAACAACGAAATAGTTTCAGTTTGTAAAGCTAACAGAGGAACCTAAAGAGGAGTGAGCCAAGTGTTCTTTGACACGATGTGGTTTTCATTCAGTCCTGGAGACACAAACATGATGTAATACACAATATAATCTTTTTCACACTGTTCTTCCGGTCTTGTTTTTTCTTCAGAACCAGAACTAGAAGTTTCCAGGTCTCTGGCCTCGGTGAGCCAGCAGCTCAGTGAGACGGTCCAGCGCCAGCGCCGGGATGCAGGCGAGAACGATTACAACATTGAAATCCTGTTAGGAGTGGACGACTCAGTGGTCCGCTTTCATGGCAAGGAGCARGTGCAGAACTACCTCCTCACCTTGATGAACATTGTGAGTCTCTTTGTGTTGCACACACACCAGCATGCCCAGTGCACACATCATTARACAACGTATGGTCCAACACATGGACTCTTCCTTCTGAGCGTCTGAAGTGTTGCAGGAACTCTGGTAGGAAATGAGATTTATTATTAGGCTGACACCTGATACCTGTCATACTGCACAGTACAAGTATGTGTCTTCAGATATACAGTAAAAATACACACAATATGTTGACAATACTTATAAAATATTTTGTAAATGATTTGTGGCACTAATTTGATTTCATTAACTTAAACTTAACCAGGAAAACCCCACTGAGATCACAAATCTGTGATGTAAAGGGGGGCTTGAAGACCACCATGGTTTTGGTCTGTGGGGAAAACCTGGAGAAGTCCAAGAGAACATCCAGACCCAGAAAGAGCCCAGGGACAGAACCCTGTGTGAGGCACCAGTGCTAACCACTGAGCCACTGTGCTGCAGAAGGGTTTCTAACCAGTTTCTGAGCAGCTGATGGAGATCTGATTGGTAACCAGTGTGTTTATTGTGTGTCTGTCAGCTGCACTCACAGTTGTGTAGGACGACTTGTGTGTTAATACTGAAGTGTTGTTGTGTTTCTGTGTTGTATTGTCCAACAATTAGCTCAGACAGCATCAGATGCTTGTCTCTGAGCGTGGGCTGACACCACAGCAGGCCTGCTGGATCTCCAGACTGTSTTCAGATTCTGTGTGGTCCCAGGAGGCCTGAGCTCATCACCCTGTCAGAGAAAAAGCTGCAGGTTGTTGGAAGAAAAGGTCCGTGTGTGAAGTCAGCTTCTAATGAGACGTTTCATTCAGCTGGAAGATCAGAGCTGCTTTCACTGTTACACCCTGCAGAGAGACGAGCCGCTCAACAAGCTGCTGCAGTTACACACACACACACACACACACACACACACACACACACACACACACACACACACACACACAGGTCAGAGATAACAGTAGCAGGGTCGGATCAGCAGCTTTAGCAGCAGGATGAAGGGTTGTGTGTGATGAAGAGGAGGAACAACACCATCACCACACTGCACGCTCTGATTCACTCCTCCTCCTCTTCCTCACTCTGTTTTCTTCCTCCCAGCCTTTTCTCTCCTCTCTTCCTCCCTTCGCTCCTTCAGAACTGTATATTTTTCTGTGTATTTATAGCACTGCCATCCAAAGAGCCATTATTCTCTCTTCCTCCTCTTCCTCCAGTTTATCTCCTTGGTGTTCTCCTCGTCCCTGAGGTCTCCTCTTTTTTATGCTTTGATTTGATTTTGTTATTATTTCTTCCTCCTGTCATCATGRTCTCCTCTTCCTCCTCTCATTTCTSCTGCTAATTAAAGCAGATCCTGTGTTTCTGGACAAACACATCATTTTGAAAAACAACAGCACACAAGTGTCCTATGGTGTGTACACAAGCATGGACCATAAGTTATCCTAACTTTGGTAAATATCATCTACCTTACTGGTTGGGCTGGTTTCTCTGGCTTGCTACTGTTGTGGCGTGTCTCGGTGGAGTGGCGGATGTGGGTGGAGTCCCTCGGCCCTCAGATTGTCCCTCGTGTTTGGACGGAGCGACTGGGGTGGGTCCATAGTCTCCCTCCAGGGATGAAGAGCGGTAAAATCTGAGCTGCATCTGTGTACAGAAATGCATCGGCCTGTAAAGATTAGATTAGATTAGATTAGATTAGATTAGATTAGATTAGATTAGATTAGATTAGATTAGATTAGATTAGACCTTTAGCACAGTGAAATGACAGAGCCCCACCAGCCTTGGTCTGCATCAGATCACGTTCAGGAAACAAAAGTGTGCAGCTGAGAGGATCAGGGGAACAGTGTGTGGACTTCCTGCTGTCTGTCATGGAGGACCGGTCAGTTCTCCTCTGCTGGACTGGTTCTTCTCTTCCTGCTTGTGGACAGAAGCCTGTCCTGTGGTGCAGTGAGACAGAGCTGCTCACTACTTAAAGCCACAGTGACCGCTCCTTCTGCTGGAAGATCATTAGCTCTTCTTGTTTCCAGTAGCAGAGAGCAGAACTGTTCTTCTTCCAGCTGCGCTCTGTTCGGTTCCTGCACTGGTGTGCAGCGGCTGACCTGCCATCAGCCAACAACACCTTACTGTTGTCTTTCTGCAGCCTTTAAGCTGTGATAACACAGGATTAAATTATACGACTCTTCTGACTTTCTACTTCTTTATTAGATTTTATTTCTTCTGTTTTACAAATGATACTTTTACAAGTTGTTGTTTTACAAATAAATTCATGTAAATGATTACAATCTGGATGGATGATGGATGGATGGATGGATGGACGGATAGGATAGATAGACAGACAGACAGACGGATGGATGGATAGATGGATGGATAGGATAGACAGATGGACGGACGGATAGATGGATGGATATGATAGATAGACAGACAGACGGATGGATGATAAAACCCTGGAGGAACATCAGGACTGGTATTTTCCCTCCCTGGTTTACTTCTTGTCTGTCCCTCACTACAGACCAGGACCAGGACTTACAGACCAGGCTTTGTATCATGTCAGACTCATAC